ACTTTTAATCCCATCATTCAGGAGACAGAGGCAGGTGGATCTCTGTGAGTTTGAAGCCATCTTGGTCTACAAAGTAAGTTCCAGGACAGCTATAGCTGTTACACAGAGAAACACTGCCTAGAAAAACAAAACAAAACAAAGAATATTCCCATTAAATTTGAATATACAGAGTTCTCTAAAGTTTGTTTTCTATAATTGTTGTGGCATTATTGCTACATCTCCCTAATCATGATTTATAAATATAATCCTAACTCTACCTTCGACACTGGCCTGTCAATGTTTGTTGTTGTTGCCGCTGACACTGCTGACGAAGACAATGAATTTGAGGAAAATATCATTCAGCCTAGGCCTCCTGCCTGTGCCTCCTCAATTATGGAGCTGCAGGCCCGTGCCATTTCCCAGGTAATGTTCCCTTTCAATTTTATAAATTTGGCACATATAATTTGAACGTACCGATTATCTTCTTTTTTAAAGCAGTGTGCCCTGGTAACCGCCTTTTTTCAAAGGCAAATTACTAACAGTATTGACATTAATCTTCTGTTAGTCACTTTGAAAGTTAATCATGAACAAATGGAATAATCTTTCAACACTGATACTATCCTACTAACTTTTTTCTTTCTTTCTTTTTTTCCTTTTTGGTATTTTGAGACAGAGTTTCTCTGTGTAACAGTCTTGGCTGTCCTGGAACTCATTCTTTAGACCAGGCTGCCCTTGAACTCACTGAGATCTGCCTGCCTCTGCCTCCCAAGTGTTGGGACTAAAAGTGTGAGCCACCACTACCTGGTTCTATTAAGTTTTTTCGAAGAAAACTTTACAACATTTGGGTGGGTTATTTTGTTTTTTATGCTTGAGACAAAGTCTCTCTATTATCCCAAGCTGGCCTGGAACTCTCTGTTATCTCAGGCTGGCCTAGAACTCTTTGTGTAGCCCAGGCTGACCTGGAACTCTCTGTTATCCTGGCTAACTTCAAAGTCACAAAGATCCTCCTGCCTCTGCCTTATGAGTACTGGGATTACAGGCGTGTGTTCTCATGCTTTAAATTCTTACTGTTGTGTGGATATTATCTGTTTTCATGCTTATGTTGGAGTACTAACTCAGAGCTTTTTCTGAACTCAGAGGAAATTCTAACATGACTATCAATTCCCAGGCTAGTTGCTGTATAGAGAGAGGTTACTGTTACCCCAAACACAAACTTGATGTGTTGACTACCAGAGCTCAGGAGCCCTAACCTAGAAATGCGGGCACAGCTGCCACTGCTCTATCTCCTCCTGAACGTGACTCGATGGATGTCACCGTAGAGAAGCTGCCGAATCAGAAACACCATGTGCCTTCCCTCAGCACTTACGACCACATCCTGCACAGCAGTGTTTTCTGACTCTGTGGTTAAAAACTGGCACAAATTAATGTACAGCTCGGCAGATCAGGAATATGAGCTAAGGCTGTGATTTGAATCTCAGAATTATTAGACGAGGAACTCAAGATCTGTTCTTGAACAATCAGGCAACAGAAAAAAGGGCCTGAGAAGAAAATACTTTACCCGGGACTTGCATTTAGTCAGACAACAAACGTTTATTGCACATCTGCTATGGGTGAGGTACCTAGTAGTGAAAAAGAAGTCCTAAGTGCCCGTCAATAAAAAGTGGAAGGGGAAAAACAATTAACAAATAAAAGTCAGAGTTATCTGTGATGGGTGTCATCACAGAATAAAATGCAACATTGTGTTAAAATGTTATTGGGAGGGGGGTGGCACACACCTTTGATCCCAGCACTTGGGAGGCAGAGGCAGGTGTATCTCTGTGAGTTCCAAACTAACCTGGTCTACAAGAGCTAGTTCCAGGACAGCCTCCAAAGTCTCAACCCCCCCCCCAAAAAAATGTTATTAGGAAAACCTCTAAAGAGAAGATATTTTAGATGAGATCTGAGTGACATTTATAAAGCAAGTGGATGAGATTTGTCATCACAGTTATTACATCTGAGATTTTAAACCAGCGTTTTGTGCTGAGATTCAATGCACACACACAAAGCCTAAAAGTGCTTTTTTGTCTTTGAAATTTTTCTTCTGACTTTCTACTTCCAACAACCTTACAGACTGCAGTACAGTGCAAAGCTGCATTTGGACTTTGGTTCCTGTTCTGTCTTCCAGGCACTCAATTCCTGAAAGCCCTGTGTTATTTTAGTGATAACTTACGTTGTGGTTCATAACAAATCCTTCCAATATTCATGAATTTATGCTAATGAGGTTACTTAGGTTGAACCTGAGATACCTCAGACTACAGAGAAACCAATGAGAACTATTGATCACTGGGAAAGTCCATGAAGAGCTGCAGATCCAAATAAAATCTTAGACAGTGAGCTTGAGAACTTCCGGGCTGGGGATGAGAGCTTCCCGGCTGGGCATACATGAAGGCCCTGGTCAGGAGGCATGCCTGGAGAGAGCTTCCTCCTATGCTTTGTCCTGTGCTCTCTTCCATTTGACTACTTCTGAGTCAAGTAATTTATAATAAACCATTAACAGTAAGTAAGGTGATGTCTGTGCGTCTGTCCAGGCTATACATGTCTCTGTATTTGGCTGAGACTGAAGTAGGGGTAGCCTTACAAGATAGAAGCCTTAACCCATGGTGTCTGTCAGAACTCTGGGAATTAACACCAGAGCTGAATAGACATCCAACTGTCTTTGGTTGTCAGTTTGTCTGTCTGACACCTCATAAGCTCTTAGAAGCATGTGGCTTGGAAAGAGAAAAAAAATGAAAGGGAAGCAGCGAGTATGGGAACTTTGGCTCCTAAATGGCCCTGTTGTTATTGTGGTAGGGATCCACAGCAGTGGTGTCCTGATGAACTTGTAAAGGAAATTTGCCAATGGGCCCAACTCCCAAGGGGCCGATTCACAGGATGCCCAAGAAATGCAAACTAGGAAGACAAGGAGTATGACCTATAACCCTTTGGCTGCTACTGCAGTGGTTAGATTGTAGGCAGAAGAATGTACTGGGCCAGGCCTTGAAGCCAGACCAAGCTCAGATTGCATTTGGCCTGAGCTTTGGATATTAGATTCCAAGCTGTCCTTAAAGGGAAAAAATCACACTGGAACAAAATACCACCTCGGATATATCTGGACATGGGCTGGAGACACGAAGCAGTGGCCAAAGCATAGGACCCCAAGTTCAACCCCCCGACACTCATGTAAATGGCAGGCAGAAGTGGGAGCCCAGCTGTAATTCCCATGTCAGGAAGCAGAGATGGGGATCTCTCCAGAAAACTGACAAGCCAGACTAGCAAATTTGCAGGCTCTGACTTCAGCGGGAGAATCTGCCTCAACATACAGTGGAGCGAACAATAACAATACTCAATATTCACCTTGGCCTCCATTCATGTTCTGCACACACAGCCTGCCCACACAAATGCAAACATGCACGCACACTTGGAATGTCAAGAAAGCGGTCCAGGTATGGGAGGACAAGACCCAGAAATGAAACCAGGGGCAGAGTGTGGACCCAGTGGCCTTGTTTCGTAAGTCAGTGCCATCAGCTTGCTGATGAACCCTTAGTAGGGTAGATTATGGGCTTATTTAGGGGAAGTATTTTGACTCTTTTTTTCTTTCTAGGACTGGGGATTGAACCCAGGACCTTGCATGTGGTAAGTGCACACACTCTACCCTGAGCAAAACCCTCTAGCACTTTACTTTCCAGATGTTGCACAGTGGTCAGACAGGTGTGGGCTGATACAGGACCCACAGCTCACTATGGAACAATCACTGACTATTCTTGAGGGAACTACCAGCTTGGAGCATTGGATAGGAGCCTGTTTAACCTGAAGCAGTCCATGTAACTCACCTTACAACTGCCAAGGGGAACATTCTAGATAAAACAGTTGATATACCTCCCAGTCAAGACCATCATACTCTCTCAGAATAGTCTCACCCTGAGACGGGCAGTCTTCCCCTGGATCTGTAGGACCCCTAATGCCAGGCCATCAAGAATGCAGGAAATAGGCAGTGGTGGTGCATGCCTTTAATCTCAGTACTCAGAGGCAGAGGTGGGTGGATCCCTGAGTTGGAGGCCAGCTTGGTCTACAAAGAGAGTTCTAGGACATTCAGGGACACTCAAAGAAAAAAAATAAGGAAAAAGAAATAGGGGCCAGCAAGCTGGCTCAAAAGATAAAGGTGGCTGAGACTAAGCCTGGTACCCTGAGTTTGATGGTGGAAAAAGGACTCCTACAGGCAGTCCTTCTGAACTTTACATACACCTCTGTCAATAATAATAATAATAATAATAATAATAATAATAATAATAATAAGTAAAATGTTTAAAAAGAATTGAATTGTTAGCTACCTAGTTATTTTTTAGCGAACTGGCTGTTGGAAAGTGCTCCAAACTCTGAAAGTGTGCTATTTTTAAATGGAAAATGGTAAAACAAACATCTTTCGTTTTCTGTTGTTTGAGGCAGGGTATGAATATTTTGCTTTGGCTATGTAGCTCAGAATGTTCCTAAATTCATGATCCTCCTGACTCAGTTACACAAGAGCTACAATCATAGACATGTTCCCCCCAAACCCGGCAAATAACTAGTCTTAAAGTTAACATAGTGTGAACAATGAATGCGTATCTTAAAATTTCAACATATTGGTGTAATACATGTGTGTGTGTGTGTGTGTGTGTGTGTGTGTGTGTGTGTGTGTGTGTACTTGCCACATCTGTGCAAGTGCCCATGGACCAGAAGGTCACCTGGAGCTACTGGTGACAGAGCCACCGGCATGAGTTTCGGGAAGCCAACCTAGAACCCTCTGGAACAGCAGCAGGGCTACTTAGCTGCTGAGTCATCTCCCCCACACCAATATTAGTTTCATCTTGCAACAAACTATTAAACGCAAATATATATCAAGTGAAGGAATCTGAGTTGATTTTCACTAAACCCACAGATACAGATTTCTGCTGGCAAGGTCTTCTTCACATTCAACCTTAACTACATCTGTAACCATGAAGCTTTCACTGCCTGGCATGGTTTACCTCCTGCATCTTCATCTTCATTGGTTGGGGCTTCTGTACTGTCCACATTTTCTGCTTCATGAGGTTTGCTTAAACTGTAGTCACTCAAGGCTTCTGGGCTTTCTAAAAGACAAAGGGAGTTTTGAGGAAGAAGTCCACTTGAAGGGATTTGTGTAACTAGGCATTGAATTCCACATCACGGTCACCGGCCACGATCACCAGTTTCCCCACTAAAGCTCAGGCTCAGCCTCCAGTACTGATAAACAGTGCCCACTTTCCTCATCCCCAGGAAGTAGACGTGGAAACTCTCAAAGTCTAGAACTGTGGATGATACTCATGTGCCACCCTTGTGAATATTGCTTTCACCTGCGCTATAACAAGCTCATGATCCATCTATTCTTTGTTCTTTCTTCATTGTTTGTTTGTTTTAGGGTTTTTTTTGTTTTTTATCTTTAATTACTACTCATATTTACATATCCACACCCCCCCCAATTCCCTTGCCCTTCCATCCTCCCATGTTCCCTACCAACGCCCCCAACCCACCCCCAACTCCTCCCCAGGGATAGTGAGGCTCTCCAGCAGGGACCTGAAAAGTCTGTCATATCATTTGGGGGAGGGCCTAGGCCCTTCTTGCTGTATCTGTTTTTTTTTTTTTTTTTTTTTTTCAAGACAGGATTTCTCTGTATTGTTTTGGAGCCTATCCTGGCACTCACTCTGAAGACCAGGCTGACCTCGAACTCACAGAGATCCACCTGCCTCTGCTTCCCGAGTGCTATTTTGGTGTATCTCACAACATTCAGTAGGACGCTATTGCTTTTCATGCCCAACAAGTATTAATGTGTTCAGCCTGACCACGTTGATATAACCCACTATGAGAAATGCTTTCCTAAAAGGAAACCTAGAAACTTCTGCATACCAAACCTATTTTCTCTTCCTGTTTATATCACAAGTGTGATTCTATGCAAAACATAATGGAACCCAGTTCCTTCCTTCCTTCATTTCATTTCTTGGTGCTTTAAGAACGGGGATCTCAGCCAGGCAGTGGTGGTGCACACCTTTATTCCCAGCACTCAGGAGGCAGAGGCAGGTGGATCTCTGTGAGTTCAAGGCCATCCTAGTCTACAGAGTGAGTTTCAGGACAGGCTCCAAAGCTACAAAGAAATCCTGTCTCGAAAACAAAACAAAACAAAACTCGGGATCTCTCTCTGTAGCCTAGGCTAGCTTCATACTCACTCTATAGTCTATGCTGGCCTGAATTAAATGAAGCTCCCCCTGACTAAGCTAGAGCAGGGGTCAGCAAACTTTGGCCTGATCATACCTGCTCTGTACAGGTCTAGGAATAAGGATGGTTTCAACATTCTCAAGGATTATTAAAAACAACAATAAAGGATCTGGGGAAGAGATTATATGATGAATTTCTGGCCATTTTCCAGAAATGGTTGCTGACCACTGATCTAAAGTGAAGCTTAAACCATGCAAATTCAAGCTATTATCTTTACCAAAATCACTTAGTTAAAAAAACAACAATCAAGTGAACAAAAATCCAATGATCAACATTAGTTGGAATGTAATTTGATTCTAGTGCTAAAGAAAGCGCAAGCGCACGTGTGTGTTTGTGTGTGTGTGTGTGTGTGTGTATGTTTGTGTGTGTGTGTGTATGTTTATGTGTGTGTGTGTGTGTGTGTTTGTGTGTATGTTTATGTATGTGTGTGTGTTTGTGTGTATGTGTGTGTGTATGTTTATGTATGTGTGTGTGTGTGCGTGTGTGTATGTTTGTGTGTGTGTGTGTTTGTATGTGTGTGTGTGTTTGTGTGTGTGTGCATGTTTGTGTGTGTGTGTGTGTGTGTGTGTGTGTGTGCATGCCTGTGTATATGGAGGCCAGAGATCATTTCAGGATCCTTCCTTTATTGTCTCCACTTTACTTTTTGAGACAGGGTCTCTCATTGAGCCTGGAGCTCACTGGGATCCAACTGTCTCTGTCCATCAGTGCTGGAGTTACAGGTACTTGCTGCTGCACCTAGTGTTGGGGGTTCAAATTCAGGTCCTCATTTGCTATGTCACCAAGCAGTCCCCACCCCCATCATACTTTTATGATGTTAGTGGAAGAGGTATTTTATCAGCAAAATGAACTGTATTGATTTCCCATTGCATTTCTACTGTAACCAGAATAAAAGCACCCCTCTTTCTTTGGTGCTTTTGGTTAAAAGTGTGCTTCTATGTCAAAACCCTGGCATTACCTGTAGGCAGAGGCTGCTCCTCGGCGCCTTTCAGCTCCGAATTTGGTTGTGTATCTAAAAAGAAAGGGAATAGACATTACTACCCAGGACACATTTCGATAGGATCTGAGTGTTCTGAGTTGAATGGGGACTTGGCTCTGTAAAGCCTAGCAGCAGAATTCCTCTTTCTGGGCAATTACGTTTCCTCCATGCTCCCCCTAATGGTGCTAGAAGGGGAATGGAAAGAATTATCCAGGCAGCATCGCCACTCTGAAACCATTCATTCTTTAGAGACCATAGAAAAAGCGGGTCACTTGGGGGCACGATGGCACACACGTTTAATCTGTTCCTATATCTGATGCTGTGAGTGGGAGCCCAGTATGGCCTACATAACGAGATCTAACCTGGAAAGGGCCACAGAACTAACAATGGGACTAGAGAAATGGCTCGGCGATTAAGGGCACACACTGTTCTTGTAGAGGACCTGAGTTCAGTTCCCAGCACCCACATAGGTGGCTCACAGCCACCTGTAACTCCAGCTCTGGGGAATTCAACATCCTCTTCTGCCTCTGAGGGTATCAGAACTCACACATATATACCCACACATAGACCTGATTAAAAATAAAAGGTTTATAAAAGAAAAGTGGGGGAATAGGGAAGGGAGAAGGAAGAGAGAGAACAGAGACGCACATACAATGAGCACCCATTAATCGCCAACTGGATTCTACAATTTTGTGACACTAGATGTTGTGGGATAATCTTTTTGTACACTGTGAAGATGTGTCTTCGTCAAGGCGCCTTCTGATTGCTTTAATAAAGAGCTGAAGGGCCAATAGCTAGGCAGGAAGAGGTTAGGTTGGACTTCTGGGCAGAGAGAGGAGACGAGGGATGAAGCTAGGTGTGGGGAGAGATGCCAGTGGAGACGGAGAGGAAGCAGGACAAGCGGGAGGAGAAGTAAAAGCCCGAGCCATGTGACACGTAAGAGCACATAGATTAATAGAAGTGGGTTAGTTTAAGTTACAAGACGTAGTTAGAAACAAGCCTAAGCTAAGGCAGAGTTTTCATAATGAGTAAGTCTCCATGTCATTATTTAGGAGTTGGCGGGACAGAGAAAGACGTGTTACAACTAGAAACTAGTTTTATTCCATCACATACCACTCCCCCATTAGTTGCTCTATTCATTCATCAATTCAGATAAAATTCCAAAAGTTAGAGATATCAGTATATTCCACCCCTTTGACATCATAAGCAATATTAAAATTCTATATTTATAAGATTTTAAGGTAAAATTTATATGCAGGGAATTGCTTTTATTTTAACTGTGTCTTTTAATGATTTTCAAAAGTGTATATGCGTATGTAATGCAAATTCCTATCAATATCCAGATGGAGGTGTTCGTGTCCGTAAATCCTATGACTCGGGCGTCTGAGGTCTGTGGGTTTGAGGCCAGCCTGAGACTCCGTGGGGAAGGGATGGGAAGGAAGACGGGAACAAGGGAGAAGAGGAGAGGGGAGGGGAGGAGAGGGAGAAGAGGGATAAAAGATAGTGTTTCCACCGTCCCAGAAGGGTTTCCTCTTCCTAGGCAGTCCTCACTCACACTCCAGACACTGTTTTCATTGTAGCCACTTTAGCTATTCTACAACTTTGTAAAGATGAAATCTTACAATCTTATGGTGCAGATTCTTTTTTTTTGTCTTCTATTTCTTTCTTTTTTTATTTAGAGAATACTTTATCAGTTTTTGTAATCAAACCCACGTAGATAAGACCTTACATATTTAATACACTGTGTTACCCCTATACAGATAGAAAAAAATTAAGTTCAACATTTCTAGACCAATATGGCTGTTAATGTACAATGCCAACTCAACACGGTAAACTGGGATACTTTCTTCCAAAGTTGACAGCACAGCTAAAGTTTCCAAAAATTCAAATTATATATAACTCAAGAGAGTTATCTGCTTCTGCCTCCTGGGACTAAAAGTGTGTACCTTAAACAAAACTATTATGCTACTTTCTGTAAAGAGTAGACTTGAGGCTGGAGAGGTCTCTCAGCAGTTAAGAGCACTGTTCTTGCAGAGGATGTGGGTTCAAACTCCAGCACCCACATGGCAGCTCACCAGAGCCTGTAACTCCAATCCCAGGGAATATGATGCCCTCTTCTGAACTCTGAAGGCAACAGGCACGTGCGTGGTGTAAACACACAAATACAGATAAAACACTCATACACATAAGATAATATAACATAGACCTTTAAAGATTTTAAATCATAAACTTAAATTGTAAGGTAGTTTTAAATTTATAGGAAAATTATGAAGGTGAGCACAGAGGGCTCCCACACGTTACATGTTGAGTCTCTTCTGTTAACACCTTATTGTTAGTGTGGGACGTGTATTATAACTCAGATATCTATTCATTATATTGAGTCTTCAGATTTCTTTCGTTTCCATCCAATGCTTGCATTAGTTTAGCCACATGTCCCCTTAGGCTCTTCTTGGTATGTTAGTGTCTCAGACTTTCCTTGTTTGGGTGACCTTCATGGTTTCGTGAGACAGGCAGGTTTTGAGAGACTATCCCTCAGCTGCGGTGTGTTTGTTTTTCTCATGAGTAGACTGAGGTATGATGATCCTTGTAAAAAGCCTCTCTGTGGCCATGTGAGTTCATATCTCTTGAGTAAATATCCAGGTGTTGAATTACCAGGTCACGGAGTAGGTATATGTTTAGTTTTACAGAAAACTGCCAGAACTTGTTCAAAAGCGGTTGTGCCATCAGCAAAATATGCATTGTCGCCCTGCATCCTCACCCATATTTAATATTGTTGGACTTTTGGTTGGTTTTGTTTTTTGAGACAGAGTCTCACCATGTAGTCCAAGCTGGTTTCAGACTCGAGTCTCCTGCCTCAGTTTCTCCAGTGTTGGATACATGCTTGCAGCACCATTGAGCCTATCATCGTGATTTTTTTTTTTTAAATTGAGACAACCCACAGGTTTCCATTTCAAATTTGTTGTCAGGTTTACTCATTTTGTGTGTCTTTCCTGCATGTGCAGATGTGACCATGAGCATGCCTGGTGCCAGCACTGAGCAGAAGAGGGCATCAGCTCCCCTGGAACAGAAGTGAGTACTGACAATTGACACTGGGTTCTTCCTCCACAAGAGCAACAAGTGCTCTAACTGCTGAGCCATTTCTCCAGCCCCGTCATCAGGATTTTAAATGAGAGCTATTTTGATAGATGTATATTAGAACTTCATTCTGGTTTGAATTTGTATTTCCCTGAAAAGCTGATGATAGTATCTCTTTCCATGTATTTATCTACACATTTTTTTTCTGTGTGAAGTATCTTGTTAAGTCATTCATACTCTTTCTGTATTTACTTACATATTTATTTTTAGTGATATAACTAGGGATTGGCAAGGTGGCTCAGTAGGTATGCTGTCAGTCCTGGGGTTGAAACCTGGAGTCCACATGGTGGAAGGAGAGATTATTCTTTTGAAATATTTCTTCTGATTTTCACATATAGGCTGTGACCACACACACACACACACACACACACACACACACACACACACACACACGTGCATGCCCGCACTACACACAAACTGTACAATATAAAAGAATCTTAAAAGATGTATCCAGTTTTTGTGATGACCTTGTTTACTGAGATGTTACTTAGCTTTAGTGTTTAAACATTTTCCTTAGGATTTTCGACATAACTAATCACCATTGGCAAACTGAAAGCATTTTTCATCTTCCTTTCCAATTTTTTATTTACTTTTTAAAAATTATTATATTTATTTTTATTTTATGTGCATTGGCGTCTCATCTGGATGTATGTCTGTGATGAGGGTGCCCCTGGAACTAGAGTTACAGACAGTTGTGAGTTGTCATGTGGGTGCTGGGAATTGAACCTGGGTCCTCTGGAAGAGCAGCCAGTGTTCCTAACCACTGAGCCATTTCTCCAGCCTCCTTTATAACCTTTATGTCTTCAGTTTCTTCTCTGCTGCATTGCATGGGCTGGAATTGCCAGAATGATTGAACAGAAGTGATAACAAAGGGTGTCTATGTCCTGTTCCTGTATTTGATGGGGTGAGGGATTCAGATTTCACCATAAATTATTTTAACGATTCGTTTTCCAGTGAGCCCAAGAAGCTCCCTTCTCTTCCTGATTTCTTTTCTTTTCTTCCTCCCTTCCTTTCTTCCTTTCCTTCTTTCTTTCTTTCTTTCTTTCTTCTTTTTTATTTGTTTTGAGATTGGGTCTCACTCTGGGGCCAAAGCTGGCCTGGCATTCACTATGTAGCCCAGGCTAGCCTTGAACTTGTGATTCTCCTGTGTCTAGCTCTCTCCAAAGTGCTGGGATTGCAGGTAGATATTTGTCACATTTTTAAGGCACCTGTTGAAATTTTATGGTTTTCCTGTATCTGTCCAGCAATTTGGATGAATAAAATCAATTTCACAGTAAGATCAATGCCTGAGATTACATTCCTTGCACTCCTGGGACAAACCCTGCCTGGTTATGACATAACTGCTGTGGTGTGGCTGGAGGACCCAACCACTGAACAGTTAATTAAGGATTTGTGAGTTTATGTTTGTGGATGGTTTAGGCCTATAGCTTTTTCTTTAATTTCTTCATTAGGTTTTGTTGTCATTTTTGTAGCATCCCCTCTTATTTTTAAAGAGTCATGTGACTCTGTATTTCCTCTTTAGTGTTTATAGTAGCATCTAAAGTAGCACTGTACATCTGAACTTTAAACACCAGCTTCATCTTCTAAACAGAAATGGGCCAATTCAGTTTTTTTTCCCTTTTGTTTTGTCGAGTTTTACTTTTCAAAGATTTTGCCTAAATTTTCTAATTGTCAAACCTATTGGGATAAGATCCCTGCAGTCTCCCCTTGCCATCTCTTTCTTTTCTCCCTTTCCATTAGGGAGACTAACCTCCAATAGCCAACTTTGGACTTGGTTAATTTTCTCTGCCAGTTTTCCCCTCTGAACTCTTCTGGGCTCTTCCTTCTCCTGCCTTCTTCTTACTCTGGCTTTAGTTTCTTCCCTTTTTTAACCTGTTAAGGTGAAACTGTAGTAAATT